TGTCTTTTATTAAAAATATATATATATATATATATATATATCCTGCTGCTCCAAACATTATTTTGTGGATATCCTTGTTTAAGTAGACACCCTGTTTTATAAACAGTGTAAATTAGGTCTACTGGCTTGCACATTTGAGAGACTTAATAAAGAAAAATGTGCTTTCTGGCAGGATTGAAACCTGCATTCCCCTTTGTTGGAGAAACTACTATCTGATCCAGCATCCTTTGGTGCACTCGGTCACAGTCAACATCACAAACCAGCAAGGTTTCAATTACCCTTTTCCAGAATGCACATTCACTTGTTCAGAACTCTGTAAATCTGGTATTTTTAAAGACTCCAGTTGCATCATTTTCAACTTCTTTTTCACATATATATATATATATATATATATATATATATATTAGCTGGCCACTCATATTCGAGAATACCTGTCTACTAGGGTGGCTAGCCAATCCCTATTGCAGACTCTCACTTAGGCACATTTGTGCTTGTTCAACACCCACAGAGCCAACCCGCAACTATGCTGAGCATACCTTAGTTACAGTTTCTGGGAGAGAGTGTGTTATCTAAATTGATCAACAATCTGAACAACACCAGCACACTCAAACTCTCTGTCATGATGACTTGTGACTTCATGCTAGCACATCTATTGACAAACCCCAAGTGTTATGTCTACCCAATTTCACTCACTTGGGTCAACACGTGGTATGGTTTTCAGGCACTTTCCAAAGGTGCCGCATGCTGGGATCATCCCCCATCCAGACCAATATCAGGAAGTCTCATTCCTGACAAATCGACCATGGTGAGATTTGAACCCGGGTCTGATGGTCAGAAAGTGAACGTTCTAACCATTCAGCGATATTTATATACAGGATATCCATAAAGTCTCTTTACAATTAAAAAAAATTATTACAAAAGCAAATAAACAGACAAGTATATGGAAATTGTTATAAGACAAGTAGATATTGAAGATATTTTAACTAATTTAATGCTCTCTATATGGGTACCATTATTTGCATGATGCTCATCAAGATGGTACTGAATTTCTTGCCATGTTCACTGTAGCATAACCTCATCAATGGTGGCAATGGCATCTGTGATCTTTTGCTTTAGATCAGTGATGTTCCATATCTTTGTTTGATACACAATATCTTTAACATAATCCCATAGAAAGAAGAAGTCCAAGGGAGTGATATCTGGTGAACGAGGTGGCCAGGGAATTGGGCAATCCCTTCCAATCCACCAGTCTGGAAATGTTAGGGGTTCATTTAACAGTACTTCTTTCATCAACAGAATACCTGAAATACATAAATCCAATGTGATTAAAAACTTTGATAACTACTGAGTACATAAAACAAATCTGATAGATGTTACCCAGAAACCAATTGGCTGATCGCTACCTACCTTGGTGGACATTTCTAATTCTTGTTGTCACAGGAGAGCAGAAAATATAATAAAAGACTACACACATCTTGGGTACCACTTGTTTGAACAATTCTTAATTCAAGGAAAAAGTGTTTAAAGGAAAGCTTTTATCCTTGGGCCCTGCATAAAATGAATGCTGTTGCACACTGACAATTCTCAATGTATTACCGTATTTGCCAGTGTCAAGAACACAGTTTTTTTTCCTCAAATTAGCACAGGTCAACAAAAACTCTAACATTCATCCTCATGGACCCATAGCAAATTCTTTAGATTTATTTCAGGAAAAGAACTGTGTCCTTGACACTGGCAAATACATTACTTTTCTTCATAGACATGTGCATTTCTTATTTTTTGTTTTTTGGGGGGTTTTTTTGTGTGTGTGTTGGTGCACCTGAGAACTGCTGCCAATTTTATTGTGCATTGCACAGTAACAAGAATAATAACTAAAGAAAAAATAAAATAATTTCATTTATGAATTTTCTTACCTGTTGGAAGATTGTCTTCTCTTCATAAAACATGTCTAATTTGTTTAAATGTGTGTAAATGCTACTGGCATCTTTTACAAAAGATAGTGACTGAAGATACAGCAGAAAACTTGCTTTATTAATGAAAAAATGCTGTAAATTTCTGCACATAATATTTACTCACATGTATATTATATGTTTTTAATAATAATAATTACTAATATTACTTATGTACATTATATGTTTTATGGTTGAGATCTAGGTTCAGTTTTGGTAGAATACTTCCATGAAATGAGAATATTGTATTTCAGAAAATATTTTTCTCATTCCCTTAATTTGTATTATTCTTTGGATTTCTTTCATAGTTCCATGTGCCGCCAAGTCATAAAACATGGGAAGACAGTTTTAGCTGTTTTTGATATTGCAGCCAGAATCTTCACTGTTACTTTCAAAGCAAAACAGGTTCATGCCTACATTGTAAGTAACTGATTCTCATTTTTTTTTAGAATTCACCCAGACTTTGAATGAATTAATAATACAAAATTTAAATGAGATAAAATAATAATCTCAGACCGAATTTCTGAGATGAGTACTAATCCTTATTAATCCTTATTATGTACTGAGGATTAATCCTTATTATGTACTGAGGATTAATCCTTATTATGCACTGACCATATTATACACTGACTATTAATCTCTATTATGCACTGATGGTTAATCCTTATGTAATGAGGATTATTCCTTATTATGTACTGAGGATTAATCATGAAAATGCAATGAGGATTATCATTATTATATACTGAAGATTAATCTCTATTATGCATTGAGGATTAATCATTATTGTACACTAACTAAAGATTTGTGGTTTGCATAGCAGTTATTTCAAAGCAAAACAGGTTCATGCCTACATTGTAAGTAACTGATTCTCATTTGCCTTTAGAATTCACCCAAACTTTGAATGAAATAATATTACAAAATTTAAGCAAGATACAATGATAATCTCAAAATGAATTTCTGAGAAGAGTACTAATCCTTATTATGTACTGAGGATTGATCCTTATTATGTACTGAGGATTAATCCTTATTCTGTACTGAGGATTAATCTCTATTATGCACTAACTATTAATCTCTATTATGCACTGAAAGTTAATCCTTATTATGCACTGAAGATTAATCATGAAAATGCAATGAGAATTAATCCTTATTATATACTGAGGATTAATCTGTTATGCATTGAGTATTAATCATTATTGTACACTGACCAAAGATTTGTGGTTTGCATAGCAGTTATTTCAGAAAATGGATATAGGGAGCTAAGTTCAGATTCTGACTGAATTTGTTGCATTAACATTATACAAATGCCCTTTAGGAGAAAACAAATCCATGGACTATATCAGCAGCCAATTTTCTGTTCTTCTCATCAACAGCAGATCTGAGAGAATGTCCCTTTGCTCAATGCCAATCTTAAGTATGGTCAGTCCCATCTACAGATCTGCTGTTTCCAGACAAATCTGTACCATAATTGTAAGGAGAAGATTCATATTTTATTTTTGTTTTATCGAAAGAGAGAAAATGGCAGACATGTTTCGTGTGATGTATTTTGGACTTTTATTTCACGTTTCAGTGTTTTTCATCACAATTACTCAGACCATCAATCTATGTCTATAAGCAAACTGTGGATTTAAAAAAAAAGACTAAACTCTCAACAAAATTCTGAGCAGTTGTGAGAAAAAGCAACAAAAATTAAGATGAAAAAAATATTATTAAAATTAATGGTAGACAATGATTCATCAATTGTAAGCAAAGAACAGGAGAAAACAAATCCATGGATGATGCCAGCAGCCAAGCTTCTATACTTCATGCTAAATGCCTCTTCCCTCAAAAAAAATGCAAGTCTTAAGCACGTTTAGTCCAAACCACAGATCAAAACCCTATGCAAATCTTGGCAACAGCATCACCTGCATTGTTTTGATACTTTCTCTGAACAGACATTTATTAAAGAGGTCAACTCTTGTTGGTGAAGGTATCAACTGGTCAATAAATTCATGGACTATATCAGCAGCCAAGTCTCTGTTTTTCACATCAACAGCAGATCTGAGAGACTGCCTCTTCACTCAAAACCTGCCAATCTTAAGTATGCTCAGTCCCAACCACTGGTCAGCTGTTTCCAGACAAATTTATACCATAATCTTGTCAAAAGCAGCACCTGTAATATCTCACTACACTTTCCAGTCAATTATGAATGTGGACAACTCTTGTTGGAGAAAATATCAGCAGGTGAATAAATGCTTCAAGGGAAAAACTAATTGTTCCCTTTGTACCAAAATGCATTCAAGTTAAGCTCTCTTCTTCCATTTGTCTGATTCATTTCTGAAATTGTATTCTGTTATACTTATAGTAAAAATTAATTCATATCAGGTTTTTTTATTACTTGTGATGATAAAGTGAATGTAGGTTAAGTGTGCTCAGTCCTAACCACAAATAAACTGTAATTGGTCAACAACCAAGCTTTGCTGTTTCCATACAAATCAGTACCACAATAGATATGCAAATTTTGGCAACAGTGCCACCTGCATTGTCTCATCATCGTCTTGAAACAGTCAACAAATGCTTCAAGGGAGAAACTGATTGTTCCTAGATACATTCACATTGGCGTCTCTTCTCCAGCTTAAAAACATACAATAAATATTGAGTCTAATAATCAGGACAGGTAATCATCGACTGTAAGCAACGAACAGGAGAAAATGAATTCACAAACAATACCAACAGCGAATCTTCTGTCCTTCATATTGATAACTGAGCTGGAAGAATGTGCCTCTTTTCTCAAAAAAAATGTAAGTCTTAAATATACCTGGTTCAACCCACAGATCATCTCTGATTAGCCAACAACCAAACATTATTGTTTTCATGAAAATCAGTAACTCAATCCCTAAGCAAATCTTGGCAATAGTGTCACCTGCATTGTCTCACTACTCTTTCCAAAAAGCCAAATTATGAAAGAGGACAATTCTTGTTGGTGACAGTATCAACTGATCAACAAACGCTTCAAGGGAGAAACTGATTGTTCCTGTCAGACCAAATGTATCCACATCAAGATCTCTTCTCCTGCTATGATCACCAAAGTTAAGCAACATTGAGCCTGGTTAGTACCGAGAGGGGTGACTGCTTGGGAATACCAGGTGCTGTAAGTTTGGATGTGTGGGTGGTGAAATGGATATTGGTTCTGAATTATTAATTGGAAAGCCACGTTCCACACTTCCAGTTGGGCACGTTATATTAACTGATGTGCAAATACACTTGGGAAAGGTATGGATCCACCTCTTCTCCCCCTAGCTATGGGTTAATTAGTAAATCATTATTATCTCTAAAAAAATTCTCACAATCTGAAAAAATATTATCTGGTTTTAAATAACCTGCAAAGGGTTGGTAAGGTATAAAAAATGAATCAATAATAATAATCTTCTCCTGCTTGTCTGATTCATTTCTACAGTCAAATAGCTGGATATACTGGGCTCCCTTTCTTTGTATAGCAGCCAGTCTAAAAGAAGGAAAACTCTAGGGAATTACTCCACTATCTTTTTCAATAAGTTGTGGAAATTCACTGATATTAAAATGAAAGAAATCTGGAGGGAATCATGACTGATTACATCCTAAAGGGACATGGAATTTAAGAGGAATATACTAATTTATTCAGACTAATATCCCTTTCTATAGTCGCAATATTTTGGCTGTTGTACCCTATATCTTTGTTTAGATGCCTGTTGTCTTTGGCAACATTCTCAGAATTTTGAACAAACATTTAGTCCACAAGTGGAGACGATTTTTATTTCCACTGTCACATTAAGTACTGTATTTATTAAATTTTTTTACCAAAATAAGTCTCGAAAATTTGTATCACATCAGGAATTCTGGCATAGATAACCTTCCTCTGGGGTTAGCATAAGCCTACAAAGATGTTAACCACTGTCCTCAAGAATGCACAGCAAATTTTTGAAACTTATTTCAGGGAAAAATCTGGGTCCTTGACTGGCAAATATGGTAATTTGTCCTTATGGAAAGTATATGGATTTAACTGCCAACCTAAGAATTGAACTCAGACCAACTGTATAAACTGTATACACGTAATCATTGCTTATATCCACTAGGCCATTGATAAGCAAGACAATTACTGCATATACTCCTGTATAAGGTGACTTCATGTATAGTGTAACCCCTGAATTTATTTTGCATGAATTTTACTGCCTCCAGAAAAAATTTACCTGAGTATAGTACAACTGGTCACTGAAAATGCATGAGTTTGAACCTCTTCAAAATGTTACCTATATATAGTCCGACCCTCTGTTTTTTTGTGTAAAAAACTGAACATAAAAAAACACTATATGCAGTAGGTGGTGGAATTCTCAGTAATTAGTATAAAACAAAAATGATTCCATATCAATGTCAAATTTTTCCCTACAGACCAAAAAGATCATATTACACTGAAATCTACAACAGCCTGATTTCTAAACTTGTATGCTGCTTCTTTTGATTTTATTATCTTACTGCAGCATCTGCTATGAGTTGAATCTTATCCCAAACAATAAAAGCAACATAAATAATTATTTCGCTCAACCTCTTGCAATGAAACTGATAGTATTCATTGCACAAGAAACAATTGCTCTTTTATCAGCTAATCATGTTCTTACTGATGTCATTGATTTAGATTTTAACCTTTAAATGGATGTCTTAACTTTTCATACTGCATATTGAATTACTGCCAGTCTATTAAAGAATTTGTAAAGTACACTGCATCAAGAGTAATCACTGGGAGTTATAGATGGCTACCTTGATCTTGATCAAGTTCTTCACAACTTAAGATGATGGAAGATTATGCCAAATGGTACATTTATTCTTCTACTCAAATTCAGCAATGATTTGGTTTTTATATCATATGATTTTGTCTTTTTATTTTTTTAGTTAATATTGACAGTTTCTTTTCTTGTTTTTCCTGTATTGTCTAGGAATCAATTATTGCTGTTCCATACGCAGATTGGAACCTTGGATTAATCCGCCCCAGTCTGGTGTGCATATGGGTTAATGGAGTGTAAGTATATTTATTTAGAAAAGTGCACATTTAAAATGCATTAGAAGTAGTTTACAAACTTACAAAGATTAATTCATGTTGAATAATTACTTTCTTGATCTCTCTCTCTCTCTCAATATATATATATATATACATTTGGTTGGATAGATGTGAGTTTGTGACCCTGGGTTTCACGCTTTAGCGATCGTCAGACAAACTCTTTGTTTGACGATCGCTAAAGCGTGAAACCCAGGGTCACAAACTCACATCTATCCAACCAAATATGTTAGCTCTATCTCTGATATTGAGCGCTTTCTAATAAGTACCGCGCATATAATATATAAATAATTATACATATATATATTTATTTATATTTATATACACTTTTCACATATATATATATATATATATATTCATACACGTTTCATAAATAATATAGACAAGTGTTGTCTATTTATTTTATGTAAATTCTTTTCATAATGTCTGATAAGTTATTATTGTTGAACGAAGAAAGAAATTCACAATACTGATCCATGTTTTTTTAATACGATCTAAGCTTTCGGCTTACATAAGCCATTATCAAAGATGTCAGTAACAACATATTAAGCAATATACGGACAAGACAGTGATGATAGTCTGTCATTGTTTACATAGATGATTTCTAAGCAGCGATAAACACATGCATATAAGATGCTAGAAGCGAAAATCACACCGCATCTCATGACATCACATATAACCATACGAGAGTGAATTGGAGAAGTATGAAGTATGGGAATCCGTTGGTATAAACCAATGGCTTCTGTTACCAATTATAGACATTTAAGAATATTTGTAAAGATGCCATAATTGATTTTTTTAAGTTGGGTTTCAACTGTTTAATGTATAATGCTTCAAGGATTTTTAGTTTTTGTCTATTGTTTTCATGTCGAAGTATAATTGTGTTTTCAACAAGTATTTTACGGAATTGTGTGTGCGGGCAGGCATGTTGTTTTAAATGCCTAAATATATATATATATATATATATATATATATATATATTGTGTATTTAGGCAGCAATCCTTCATTAATGCATGTATCATTAAAAATGACAGACAAGGTACTATGATTAAGCTTTTTATTTAATTTTTATTGTGTTCGAACAAGTGTTTTCTTTTTTGGACACAGAGTGCATAGAAATTTCACAAATGTCCAACTAATGGCTAAAAGTATAGCTGAAAGCACTCTACAAACTCTGTGTCCAAAACAGAAAACACTTGTTCAAACACAAGAAAAATTAAATAAAAAAGCTTAATCGTAGTACCTTGTCTGTTGTTTTTAATGAAACATATATATATATATATATATATATATACTCCTATGTCTTAATAGTAGGTTATGAATATTATAATTTTACAACGGTCAATTTTCAATCACTATCTGAAGATTGCTCCATGCATGAAACTCAGTATGAAAACAGTGAGGAAAAAATGAATATTTCTGGCTGATGCTAACCTTGAGGAGAGTGACTTGTTGCACCTTCACAGGTTAACATTCTTGGCTAAAATGAAGTGGAAAGCCTATATTGTATCCATTGCTAGGTCTGCTGCGAAGAAAATTGGTTAACAGTGTCGTACAAGACAATTTTTCTCTCCAGAATCTATGTAACATATCTATAGGTCTACCATTCATCCATGCTTAGAATATTGCTGCCACATATCCAGTGCTCCTTCTATATATTTAGAGATTCTAGATAAAATTCAAAAGAAGAATCAGCAAAATTATTGGTGTCTCAGCTTCAGTCCCATCCCACCAACATAATGTAGCTTCCCTATGCCTTTTCTATCAATAGTTTCATGGTAATTTTTCGAATTAGTTCTTCACTATGGTACCTAAACTTTATAAATTCAAGTGCAGTACTAGATTGGCAACAAGGTCCCATCAGTTTACATTTGAATCAGCTAGATATAACCTTAAGTTTTATGCTAACAGTTTCTTTTCTCACACCTCTTGCTTATGGAATCCTCTTTTGACTCCATGCTTTCCAGTTAACTTTGATCTCCAAAAAGTTAAATGCCATGTCAATCATTATCTACTGTCTGCCTAAATATTTTACCATTGTTCTTGCTCCATAATAATGTTTTTGCTTTCTAATTCTTCCACACTCAGTAACCCCCTGCCTTAGTTGAATGAATTCAATTAAGAAAAAAATCTAAAAGAAGTATATATATATATACATATATATATATATATATGTATGTATATCAGTAAAAAAGTTTTTTGTTAGAAAGATTATGTACAAAAACTTGTTGTATAGACTAAAATGAGGATTGGTGAAAAAAACACCTAATATTTAAAATAGTGATATTCATTTATAATATAGGAATTTTTACAGAGAAGAATTAAAACTTTGTTACTTACAATTGGATTTTCAGTGTTTTTTTTTTCTTTTTAAACTTTTTTACTGATTTCACTTAGCTTTTCAAAATGTTTTTAACTGTTTCTCTCTCCACATGTTAATGCTTATATTTTGTACTAATAAAAAATGAAAATACATATATATATATATATATATATATATATATATATATATTATAGATTAATATATAGATTAATTATTATAGATATTAATATATCTAACATAGACCTGTTTAACAGGTGTAATATTGGAGGAATTGTGACTTTTATCATACAGTCTCAGTTACAGTGGACTGGTCATGTCTTGAGAATGTCTGATGACAGGATACCCAAGATCCTAATGTACAGCCAGTTAGATCAGGGCTACAGGAATGTAGGACGCCCATGGCTAAGATACAAAGACAAGCTGAAAGCAGTCAATATACCACATATCACCTTTGAGCACTTAGCCTTGGAGCGGGTAGAATGTAGATCAACATGTTTTAGTGGACTCAGCAATTTTCAATCTGCTTGTCTGAATCATCTTCAAGAAGTGAGAGCAAGATCTCCAAGGTCAGCTAATCTAACAGGATCTCATCTCACAATTCTCACACTTGCTTCATATGTGGCCTCCTTTGTAAATAACTAGCAGGTCTTAAATGATACTTAAGATTATCACACAAAATTTCATAAATGAATCAATAAGCTGGCAGATCCTCATACATTGAAACCGACGGGAGAGTCCATTATTAT